TAGTAGTAGTAGTAGTAGTAATTAGGAGGAGAAAAAGGACCGGTAAGAGCATGTGTAAATAATGACTGCATAGGCTGGTTTCTCAGAACAGGTACCGTAAAGAGATCATATGGCTAGGGGCTACAATCAGAGCGTGGCGACTATGGGGCTCTCCAAGAAGGATTGCCAGGAGGCATCTTGCGAGACTGCCACATTGCGGGGTCATTGTTGAAACTACCTAAACCCTAAACCCTGAACCTTCAGGGAGCATCCGAGCGGATACGAACCATGCCGTTTATGACCCCAACCCATTTCCGTGCGAAATTATGGTGAGTCCTGGATGCAAGATGAACAAACACACGGATTTTGCGAATTGCGGGGGCTGGCAGAGTGTAATCACTTAGGCATTGGTGTTAGAATCAGAAGATAAGAACCCCCATCATCACCTAGCCTCTCTAGACCCTCAACCCCAAATCCGACATCCTAAACCTTAAACGTAGGTTATACTCCTCAGATTCCAGAGCTTTTGCTATGATATTACAATGTGGACTTCTCTTTTGATTTCCCGTTTAGGGTTTAAGATGCTGGGATCCTGAAAATCTCCGAAACGAGCCTCAGAATTCTGAGAACCCCGCCCCTACCCCTCCACATGGTAGTTTCTCAAAATAGTTTCTATTGGAGGCTGGGAAGGCTGGGTTTCGGGCGCCCACGTTCGTGAGGCTGAACAGCAGTGGATGAGCCGGCAAAAGCCGAAGCCGGGATCCTTACCTGTGACTTTGGATACTGCCCCCACTCATCACCGACTGAAGGATATTCATGTAGAGCCATTAATGTGAATCTTAATAATATAGCCTTAAAATAGGTGGCGGGCCTGATCCAACCTTGAACGTTTATTTTGAGAAACTCGTTTGTACTGATGCAGCGCTCTAGACTCCGACTAGCCAAAGGTTCGCACTCCGGTTGTAGGGTTTTGGGTTTAGGCAAGTTCTGTTCCCGAGAGGAACAATGCGTAAGGGAGTCAAACCCTAAACCCTAAACACTGGACTTCATAGATGGTCAGTAGGGCTGTCATACCCCAAGCGGCCTCAGGGATTTCACGCTGGAAGGCATGTATTCTGGGAACAGATGTGTCGATCGACTACCTGGTAGTTTCTCAACGTGTGATCCTGTTCATGCTAGAAATCCTGCATGACCTTAGTATACTACAGTACCGTTATTCCCAAGGTATAAGGTACTTAGGGTCATGCAGGATTTTTAGTATCCACGGTCCCACTTGGGTGCCTTCACACCTACGTGCCATGATATAGACAGTGACAAGCACGCGGTTTTGGGTTTAGGCTTTAGGGCTCTTAGTTGTGAGAAACACGCTATGAGCTTCTTCCTTGTACCCCTACTTCAAGGCTACGGGTATATGGGCTTATGTAGAGTTATAAATACGGTTTCCATAGGGTTATGTACCCTAAGCCCTAAACCTCCATAGGATACTTTACGCTCACAACGTCCTTGAGCATCCAAGAGCGGGCCCAGGCCCTTTTTTTAAGGCCCTGGTTTAGGGGTTAGGGTGTGTAGGGGGTTTAGGGTTTAGGGGTTTAGGGCTTAGGGCGCCTTCTCCATCTGAAACCCTGACCCAGGTCATTTGAGTAGGATGTTTCTGTAGTCTCATTAGGAATCCTCTTTGGGGCATACAGGCACTACTAGGGTGACTAGAGTGATCTACTCTAAGCCCGAAGCCTTCTGGGTCTTTGTCCTTGAAGCCTGGGGCCCAATAAGTGGGTATTGCTTATAGGCTTGGGGTTTAGGGTTTAGAGCCCTACAGTATGTGTCAAAGGTAGTTGAGGACCTTTAAGGGCTCCTCTAGAGATATCTTGGGGCCAAGGGTCGCTCTAGTAGATGGAGTATAGATTGCTCCAAAGCCATAGTTCTATCTACCTACGGGGGACTAGGGTTTAGGGTCTAGGTATGTACCTAAGGTTAGAAGTGCTTGGGCCCTTTGGGTGAAACCTTAAGCCCTAAACCCCTCTTAATGCTAAACCCTAGATCCTGAACCCTAAACCCTAATGCTAAACCCTGAACCCTAAACCAAAAACTGGGTCTGGTTTGAGGCTCGGAGACTGGAGTCTGCTCCGACAGAGTGCCATGCCTCGTGGGGCCCAGGCAGAGTGGAGAGGGTTTAGAGATTGAGGGGTTCAGGGGTTTAGGGTTTAGGAAGTTTTTTTGGGGGGATTTACGGTGGTTTTGAAGGGCTTAGGGGGGGGGGGGGGGGGGTTGAGGAGTTTTGAGGTGTGTAGGGGCTTGGGATTTAAGACTTCGGCATCCCTGAGGGTGTATGTCAGATTTACACCGAGAGTATGAGCCCTATCGCCTTGAGAATTATATTTTAAATGTCTATTGTAGCAGAACCCCAAGGAACAAGTAATAGTAACGTACTTTATTGTATAGGTCTAAGGGGATTGCAAATAAGGTGCCCCAAAAAAGCCCGGGTTGGGGGCACATACTTTTGCCTGGCCGTGGTCTTTGCAGAGTCGGAGTGGGCCGGTGTTTTTTTTTTTAACTCTTGCATGAGGCAAGGCCAATTCTGGTTGAACTCTACATTCACCAAGCATTCACATCCCTAAACCCTAAACCCTAAATAGCAGTTTGCATTTTCTTTTCCATTATCCAAATATAACCCCCAGTATAACCCTAATATTATAATAGTTTCCATCTTATTTTCCATCATCCCAAATAACCTCAAAATAACCAATCCTGAGGATAGTTCTGCCAGATCCCTCACTGACTGGTCACAGGAGTTTTCCGCCAGATTCTACCATCCCCCGAGCTCTCTCCTAACGTGGCAGTACTTGGGGGGTCGGGGGGACTTAGTAAGTAGGTTAACAATGGGGATGACTGGGCTTACTATATGGGTTATAAGGGTTACTAAGCTACTTACTAAGTCTCCCGGACCCTCCAAGTAGTCTTTTTCGGGTCCTTTTTGGGGGTTCTAGGTTGGGGGCAGGATGGAGGCACTCTCGGCTGGAGGAGGTTCATTGTCAGGTTTGTTTGAACATTTTACCCAGCCCTAAACCCTAAACCCTGAATCCTCAAATCCTAAACCTTAAGCCCTAAACCCTAAACCTTAAACCCTAAGCCCTAAACCCTAAATCTACAAAACCGATCATCCTGAGAACAGACAGCTGAAGTCTGTGGTCCCGAGGGCTGGTATGGGAAAGAGTTTGAACAACAGATTTTAGTTTTTTTTGGGGGGGGATAGATTGGTACCAACTATAGAGTTAGATTATATCCTCCTTGGGTAAGTATATTTCATATAAAGAAGAAAGCTTACGAGGTTGGGCCCAAGGTCCCTGTAAGGACATGCGGTTTAGGGTTTTGGGTTTAGGGTTGGCTACTTCATTAGATCGGCTCGTAGCCGAAGTTTGCGGCCGTTAGTGACGAAACTGCGGCTTGGGAGCGCTGCGCTGGCCTCTGTCCCAGAAACACCCTTACATGAACAATAGTCTAAACTCCTTAAAGGGGGGTTATGTAGGGAATTATATAGGGAACTACTATAGGGGTTATTAAGGGGGATACTAGGAGTTTAGACAATGGTTCATATGAGTTTCCACAAAGCCCCGTTTTAGGAGTCTGCAGAGTCCCTTCATGTGTTGGGGTGTAGATTGGCGCCCCCCCCTGCTTTCAGAAATCCCAACTTGTGAGAGTTATGCAAACCCACAAAAGATCGTGATTGCTCAGCTGTAGCAGCTAGCCTCTTGTCCCAGAAGCGGCGTGGGCCCATCCTCGCCATGCGCACCTTTAGTATTTCAGTGACCATAATAGGAATGGTAGAAAAAACCTAAACCCTAAACCCTAAACCCAATCACAGTAGAAAAAGGAGAGGGCACTATTTTATGCTGTGAGCATGATTCCCTTGCATCCTCTAACTCCTTGGACACTCTTGCCATGGCTTTCTTGTCGTACTCCTCTCCTTTTTCTAAAATAATAGCAATGATTATCTTTATTTTGACTATGTTCTATTAATATTTCTATTATTACCATTTACTAGTATCATTACTGTGCTATTTCAAGTATTATTATTAGTATTATCACTACTACTATTATTACTATGCTTACTACTAGTACCATGTTTATTACTGCTATTTTGACCGCTCATCCTTCAACTTCATGGTAGGAGCGTGCGTCTTCCGCCCCGCAGCAGGCAGGGGTCCGCTTTGAGTGCTTTGTTCTGGGTGTTGTTCTTATTCCTGTGGTTATTATATTGTCAGTACTCGTGATATGAGCTACGGACTAAATTTGGGTTCGTGGGGAACTATAGGGGACTATATAGGGTTTTTGGAGGACCTATTAAGGGACATACTACAAATTTAGTCCAGGGCTGATATGATGGCTTCTTATTCCTACTATTATTACTTGTTGCTCGTTTTGGGCTGGCTGGCCTCCAGGGCTTGAATAGGAGCCTTAATGTCTTTGTAGTGGCTGAGGAAGTCGTAGCAGAACAAACGTATGTGGGGGTTCCAAAGACTGGGGTCCCGTTGAAGGGGGCCCCATAAAAATGATGACAGCAGTTTAGGTTGATTTATGGAAGCCACCTACCATCAAATATTCCAAGTATATTATGGTACACCACAATCGGAACATGTAATATCAGGGGGGTATCAAGAGGGGTGGAGGGTTCTGATATTAGTGAGGGTGATCCCTGAACCCTAAACCCTAAACCCTGAACCCTAAACCCTAAACCCTAAACCCTGAACCCTAAACCCTAAACCCTAAACCCCGCCCACCCGCGCCCAGTCCGCGGTGACACGACAGCGGCCCCTACGCGCAACCTTCGTGCCGCGGGACGCGGAGGGCAGGCGGGGCGTAAGCAAAACGAGATTTCCATAAATCGGGGGACCCCCAATATAGACCCCAACATACCATAGTCGATTTCTTGGGACCCCGAATTTTGGGAAGCCTTACTCCCTATAAATACTAATATGATCCCAATGTCCATTTCATGCTCCCTTATCTTTTCCATCTGATGTTCCACGATCAGGGTAGCATCCCTATATGTCCCTATGTACCTCTTTAAAGGGACCCTAAACCCTAAACCCTTTTCCGTGTGATTTTCCCTTATTAAAGGGATCCCGCAGCCCAATATAATCCCTAGGTAAAGGGTTTAGGGTTTAGGGCTCAGAGAATCTCTAGAAATGGTAGCTTCCCAGAATAGGGGGACCCCAACATGGACCCCAAAGCTTTATAATCCTAAGTATGGGTCCGCAAAACCAGTATCGAAATGGGTTTCATGTTACTTGGGGGTGGGTACTACCATATACAAGCTTGAAACAAAGCAACATCACTCCTAATTGTACAGTTCCGATCAATCTACCGCAAGCCCGTTTCCGAATGCCCGGGCACCTGCACTCTGCTAACTCTAATGATTCCGTGCCACCCTAAGACACAAACCCTGCGCCCCAAATCCTCAGATCATACACCCCAAGAACTCCAAACCCTACACTCCAAATGCCCAAACCTACACGCCTCAGCCCCAAACACTACTCGGAGGGTCAGGGAGACTTAGTAAGTGCCCTATAACCCAGATCGTAACCCCATTTATCCCCATTATTAACCTACTTACTAAGCCCCCCTGACCCCCCAAGTAAACTGCAAGCCCCAAACGCTAAACATCCCCAAACGCTAAACACCAAAAGTTCCCAGACCTTGCTACCCCAAAATCCCCAAACCCCAAATGAGCTGCAGCCTAAATGCCTGGAAGGCTGGTTATCTAGGGTCATGTAGGGGACCATTATAGGGCTTAGAAAGGGGGATACTCGGAGTTTAGCCTTTTTTGCTCAAATGAATATTCCCAAAATGGGAGTCGCCCTTCACTCTACCCACTGTTTTTGTTACAGTCACTCCCAAAACGGCTTGAATGATTACCCAAATGGTTCCTGTTCAATCCTTATCACATAACTATAGTCACCCAGCTTCGGTTTCCTTCAGTTGCATTGTCCACTGTCGGATTCTGCACGATTCTACTTCTTCAGGCCCCCTAAACTCTGTATCTTCTCGTATATCCTAAATCATGTCTACACAATCTGGTACGTGGGACCCTCCTAAACCCTAAACCTTATCTGAAGCCAAATAAACCCCTACATCACACCCAACAACGCAGCTCCGCAGAGGCAGATTCAGTTCCATCCGCCTGCCCGGGCGGAGCCACGCCGGATGAAGGAGTCAGGTGGCGAAGGGCTTTAGGGTCCTTCGGGTTTAGGGTCAAGGGTTTGGGGTTAAGGGTTAAGGGTTTGGGGTTAAGGGTTTAGGATTTCGGGTTTACGGTTAAGGGTTTACGGTTAAGGGTTAAGGTTGAAACTCTGGGCTCCTTGTATGGGCCCTTCACCTTGGGATCCTCATATACCTACTAGATACCTTGGGTCCCAAGAATCTCCCTAACAGGGCCCATACTTCTGACCTTAGGGGTTCATTTGGGAATTCGGGGGGCCCAGGACTCCCAAATTGAGGACTGTTTGGGTTTAGGGTTTAGGGTATGAAGATTGCCAGGAGCTCTACATTGCCTGATGAAGGGGCATTGGTGAGGTGAAGGTTTTGGGGTGAAAGGTAGAGTTTAGGAGGGCCCCCCGCCTTGAAATAGTGGAGAGGACCCTACATAATCCTTATTAATGTTGGACCCTCTTATGCATGGGGACCCGGTTTAATGTCAAGTTCTGGGGCTAATTCAGGATCTGTGGGTATGTTTAGGGACCCTCTTTAATGTCAAGTTTTGGGGGCTAAAATAGAAAAAAACATAGGTTTGACCTTTAGTCTTGTACAAAAGTTAATTACTATCCATCAGATAAGTCAGAGCTCAAGAAGCCCT